GCTGGGCGTTGGGCATTGGCTTTTTAGAGTTGGGTCCTCAGACACTACTGGGAGAGGAGGGTAGGAGGGAGAGAAGGTAGCTCCGCCTCCCATGTCTGGTCACTTCTTCCAGGGCATGTCAGAGACCTTTGAGACATTACACAACCTGGTACATAAAGGGGTCAAGGTGGTGATGGACATCCCCTATGAGCTGTGGAACGAGACTTCTGCAGAGGTGGCTGACCTCAAGAAGCAGGTACAGGCCCTTCAGCCCTTGGAAGCGTTGTTGTGCCCAGTGAGGGGCCGGTGGGGATTGGGTCTGTTCTGAGGAAGCCCACCCAGGCCCAGGTGGCTGTGATCAGGTCGTTTCACCTCTCTGGCTTCAGTTTCCCTAGGTGAACCGCCCCCACAGCCTACCTTGCTGTGGGTTGTGAGGCTTAGCTGAGCTGCTCTAGGAGCGAGGCTGGGGCTTTGCCAATATGAGATATTGTGATTAACAGTGTGACGTGCTGGTGGAAGAGTTTGAGGAGGTGATCGAGGACTGGTACAGGAACCACCAGGAGGAGGACCTGACCGAATTCCTCTGCGCCAACCACGTGCTGAAGGGAAAGGACACCAGTGAGTCTGGGGGAGGCAGGGCAGATTGGCGCTGGATGATTTATTGTTTGCTCTCCCTTGGGGGAGGTGGGTAAGAGGAGAAACAGAGAGCACCAGAGGGCATTGTAGGATCTCTGCCTTCGGAGGGCTTGCTTGGCAAGACATGGTGAAGTGAGAGTCACTGAAACCAGGTGCAGAATGACTAGCAGACAAGCCAGATGCCCCCAGAGGGGCCTGGTGGCCACAGCGAGGCAGGGAGTAGTCCCAGTTGCTACTCCCATGGCTCCCTGTTCAGTGCTTCTCGCCCAGCACCCCAGTCCTGAGGCACTTCCTTTGAGGGTCTCTCTCCTCCACACCCTAGGTTGCCTGGCAGAGAAGTGGTCTGGCAAGAAGGGAGACACAGCCGCCCTGGGAGGGAAGAAGTCCAAGAAGAAGAGCAGCAGGGCCAAGGCAGCAGGTGACAGGAGTAGCAGCAGCAAACAAAGGAAGGAGCTGGGTGGCCTTGAGGGAGATCCTAGCCCCGAGGAGGATGAGGGCATCCAGAAGGCATCTCCTCTCACACACAGCCCCCCTGATGAGCTCTGAGACCACCCAGTGTCTTCTGTCCTGAGACCCCTGATTTTGAAGCTGAGGAGTTGGGGGCACGGCTTTGGCAGGCCAGGATGGCCCCACAGGCTTCAGGCCCTCCTTGCCTTGGCTGTGCCCTTTTCTACCACGGAAAGACACAAGCCCCTGTAAGAACTCAGAGCTGCCATGGGCAGCCCACACCAGCCTTTCCCCTCCCCAGGCATTTTTCTCCTGACATGGGCTTCAGGCAGGCCTTGTGGTTTCAGGACTTCGAGGACTCCAGTATGAACTCAGGAGGGGCAGGTGTCTGAGCCGGGCACCAGGACTGGAGCCCCTCCAGAGTCCAAGAGGAGAGCACGCTCACCTCCCCTCAACCCTGCCCCACAGGGAACTGAGACTGCAGCCCTCTGTAGCTCCTCTCTGCTCACCTCTCTGCTGAGGAGGGGGAGGCTAAGCCCACCCACTGTCAGGAACGCAAGTGTGGGGAGGGCCCAGGGTTGTCTTGGGGTGAGGGGAGGCATGGGCCTAGGGTAAGGCCCAGTGCAGTGCACTGACCTTCCGCTGCTCACTTGTGTCCTGGGCACCTGGCTGCCTGCCTTCCCTCCCTCTCTCCCGCCACTCCCCTCCCCCACAAGGCCTCCCATTTGTTGTGTAAAGTGTGTTTACCCAGCCAGCTCCTGCCTTTGCTCCTACTTCCACCTGGCCCTGCCTGTGGGTCTTGAACCTTGTTCTTTGATGACCACACTGATCACTCTGCTGTTTCTAGCTGTCCTGCCTGGAGTGCAGATGGGAGGACACCCAGCTCCCAACACTACCTGGTCACACCATGTTCCTCAGGGCCAGGGGAGGAGCAGGGAGGCTGGCCTCTAGGGAGAAGGGGTGGGAAGCTCAGGCACCTCTCAGATTGTCCTGAAGGGAGGGATCAGGGCAGTTGGTACAGTAGTGATGACAGTTGTATGTATTCACAGTGCTTTAACTTTTACCATTACCACACACTTGTGAGGTGCGCTGTTAGCCTCACTGCATAGAGGAGAAAACAGGCTAGAGTCAAGTGACCGTGGAGTCAAGGTCCTGGTGAGGAGTGGTATTGCTGGGAGCACACCCTGGTGTTCAGGTCCAAGTCCATGGTACTTCCATTCTCCACAGCTGCCAGGCTCTTCCCCAAACTCCTGGCACTGACAATGTGGTTCGAATTGAACTGGTTTGGTTTCTTGGACTTAACCTGTCACCACCACCAGGATTCTTAAAAGGCAAATAGGAAGCAGATGTGTCTTCTTGGAAGGAAAGAATGGCAGGAAGTCCCACCGGAGCTCTGCTCAAATCAGATCCCCTGTGAGCACCCACAATGCAGCTCCACCTCACACTTCCCGGCCGATCCCAGTAGGTAGAAGGGATACACTGCTGAAGCCTCCCTGCATCCAGTGAGCTGCTCTGGGGGCTGAACTCCTGGGAGTGAGTGGCCCCCTCCCACGGGTTAGGGCAGTCAAAGCCATAGAGAATGGAACATAGTGGGATCTGTCTCTCCTTTGGCTATTGAGGATGATCCCAGATCCTGGGAAAATGATACTGTTTTGGTCCAGCCCCCATCTCGGCGTCTCCAGGATGGATGTTCCCTCTGTTAAAGGGGCTGGTGAGCAGTGAGATTCTACTCTAGATGCAGGTCTTCTCCTGGACTTTGTTCTGAGCATAGAAGATGGCTGGGGGTAAGGTGGGGGGCTGGCATCCAGGGCACAGATCTGTTTGCAACCCCCCGAACTATCTAGGATTTGGTGGCCAGTCTCTGATTCCCTGATTCTATCACTAACAGCACTTCAGGGCCTGGCTTACCTCTGTCCCCAGAGCTTCGATGGTTGTTTTTTGGTTTAGTTTGTTTTCTTTTTTGAGACAGTCTCTGTTGCGGTGGCACAATCTCGACTCACTGCAGCCTCTGCCTCCCGGGTTCAAGTGATTCTCTGCTTCAACCCCGGGATTACAGTTGCCTGCCACCATACCTAGCTAATTTTTGTATTTTCAGTAGAGATGAGGTTTCACCATGTTGGCTAGGCTGATCTCCAATTCCTGACCTCAAGTGATCCACCTGCCTTGGCCTCCGAAGTGCTGGGATTACAGGTGTGAGCCACCAGTGGGCCCAGCCCACCCCCCTACCCTTTATTTATTTTTTTTTGAGATGGAGTCGCTCTGTCGCCCAGGCTGGAGTGCAATGGCACACTCTCAGCTCACCGCAACCTCCGCCTCCCAGGTTCAAGCAATTCTCCTGCCTCAGCCTCCCAAGTAACTGGGATTACAGGTGTGCACCACCACACCCGCTAATTTTTGTATTTTTAAGTAGAGACTGGGTTTCACCATGTTGGTCAGGCTAGTCTCGAACCCCTGACCTTGTGATCTGCCTGCCTCAGCCTCCCAAAGTGCTGGGATTACAGGCAGAAGCCACCGCGCCTGGTTTACCCTTTATTTTTTGGAAGAGAATCTCCCTTTGTCACCCAGGCTGGAGTGCAGTGGTGTAATCATGACTCACTACAGTGTCAACCTTACAGGCTTAGTTAGTCCTCCTGAATAATTGGGACCATAGGCGTGCACCACCGTGCCTGGCTAATTTTTAAAATTTATTTTTTGTATACCAGGCGTGGTGGCTCACACCTGTAATCCCAGCACTTTAGGAGACCAAGGCTGGAGGATCGCTTGAACCCAGGTGTTCAAGACTAGCCTAGACAATATAGCGAGACACTGTGTCTAAACAAATGAAAAAAAAAAAAAAAAAGTAAATACTTTACTTTTTTGTGACAGAGTCTCATTCCATCACCCAGGCTAGAGTGCAGTGGCACAATCTTGGCTCACTGTAACCTCTGCCTCCTGGGTTCAAGCAATTCTCCTGCCTCAGTCACCCAAGTAGCTGGGATTACAGGCACACACAACCATGCCTGGCTAATTTTTTTTTTTGAGACAGAGTCTTGCTTTGCTGCCCAGGCTGGAGTGCAGTGGTGCGATCTTGGCTCACTGCAACCTCTGCCTCCTTGGTTCCAGCTCTTCTCCTGCCTCAGCCTCCTGAGTAGCTGGGGCTACAGGCACATGCTACCACACCCGTCTTATTTTTTTTATTTTTTGTATTTTTAGTAGAGACAGGGTTTCATTGTGTTAGGCCTGGCTAATTTTTGTATTTTTGGTAGAGATGGGGTTTCACCATGATGGCCAGGCTGGTCTGGAACTCCTGATCTCAGGTGATCCATCCACCTTATCCTCCCAAAGTGCCAGGATTACAGGTATGAGCTACCACACCCAGCCAGTTTTTTAAAATTTATTTTTGGGGTCTGGGGTGGTTCCAGCCTCTTATTTGGGAGGCTGAGGCAGGAGAATCGCTTGAACCTGGGAGACGGAGGTTGCAGTGAGCCAAGATCACACCACTGCACTCCAGCCTGGGCAAAAGAGAGAGACTCCCTCTCACAAAAAAAAGACCTGACCCCTTACTGGGGTGTTGGCCTATTAGCCCAATCCCAAGCCCAGACCTGAGGGTGTGCAGCACTGTCACTGCTTTGCTCTTTGACCTGTGGTTACATTCTGAGTCCCCTCCCTCCCTCCCTCCCAAGGCCAGGCTTGTTGCCCACACACTAACTGTTCACCCAGCATACCCCAGCCGCAGCTTATTCTGCCTACAAAGGCAGAATGAAGGAAACCTGGCTTTCCAGGTTTTTTCTTTCCCTTTTTTTTTGTTTCTGTTTTTGAGACATGGTCTCCCTCTGTCGCCCAGTGCTAGGCTAGAGTGCCATGGCAGGATTATGACTCAATGCAACTTCAACCTCCCAGATTCAAGTGATCCTCCCACCTCAGCCTCCCAACTAGTTGGGACTACAGGTGCAGAGGCACATGCCGCCATGCGCAGCTAGTTTTTTCATTCTGTTTTTGTTTTCGTTTTTGAGATGGAGTCTCGCTCTGTCACTACAGCCTTGGCAACAGAGTGAGACTCTGTCTTGGTCTCAAAAAAAAAAAATAAGATATGTGTTATCCACTTTATGTTATAGGTAAGGCTTCTGGTCAGTAGTAGGTTAGTAGTTGATTTTTTTGGTGAGTCAAAAGGTATACATGGGAGCTGGGCACAGTGGCTCAAGCCTGTAATCTCAGCATTTTGAAAGGCCATGGTCATCTGATCACCTGTGAGATTGATAAAAAATAGAAAAATTGGCCGGGCGTGGTGGCTCACACCTGTAATCCAAGCACTTTGGAGGCCAAGGCGGGCAGATCACCTGAGGTCGGGAGTTCAAGACCAGCCTGACCAACATGGTGAAACCCTGTCTTTAAAAAAAAAAGAAAGAAAGAAAATTAGGCACGGTGTTGCCTTCCTGTGGTTTCAGCTACTCAGGAGGCTGAGGTGGGAGGATCACTTGAGCACAGGAGGCAAAGGTTGCAGTGAGCCAAGATCATGCCATTGCACCCTAGGTTGGGTGACAGCAAGACCCTGTCTCAAAAAAAAAAAAAAAAAAAAAAGTTACACATGGATTTTCAACTGTGTGAGGAGTCAGAAACCCCAACCACCAAGTTGTTCAAGGGTTACCTGTACTCACCAACCCAGTCTTGGTGTTTTAGATGTGATAGCATGTGCTACATCATGTTTCAATAAGCAACGCTTAGCCTGTCATCAGGGCCAGAAGTAGTGTATCATTTTTATGTTGAATAATAAAAGCTCAGTGAGGCCAGGCATGGTGGTTCATTCCTGTAATCCCAGCACTTTGGGAGGCCAAGGTGGGCAGATCATGAGGTCAGGAGATCAAGACCATCCTGGCCAACATGGTGAAACTCAGTCTCTACTAAAAGTAAAAAAATTAGCTGGGCATGGTGGCACACGCCTGTAGTCCCAGCTACTCGGGAGGCTGAGGCAGGAGAATTGCTTGTACCTGGGAGGCAGAGGTTGCAGTGAGCTGAGATCATGCCACTGCACTCCAGCCTGGGTGACTGAGCAAGACTCCATCTCAAAAAAAAAAAAAAGAATTAGCTGGCCATGGTGGCACTCACCTGTTAGTCCCAGCTACTCAGGAGGCTGAGGTGGGAGAATCGCTTGAACCCAGGAGGCGGAGGTTGCAGTGAGCTGAGATTGTGCCACTGCACTCTAGTCTGGTGACAGAGCGAGACTTCGTCTCAATAAATAAATTAAATAGATAAATAAGAGAACAGATCTGTGTGTACTGAAGAGATCTTTACTGGAGGTTAGCACTCCTTAAAACCACTTTTTTTTTTTTTTTTTTTGGTGACAGAGTCTCAGTCTGTTGCCCAGGCTGGAGTGCAGTGGCATGATCTCAGCTCACTACGACCTCTGCCTCCCAGGTTCCAGCGATTCTCCTGCCTCAGCCTTCTGAGTAGCTGGGACTACAGGCACATGCCACCATGGCCTGCTAATTTTTGTATTTTTTAGTGGAGACGGGGTTTCACCATATTGGCCAGGCAAGTCTCAAAATCCTGACCTCATGATCCACCCACCTCCACCTCCCAAAGTGCAGGGATTGCAGGTGTGAGCCACCGCACCTGGCCAAAACTGCTTTTAACAGCCAGGTATAGTAGCTCATGCCTATAGTCCTAGCAATTAGGGAGACCAAGGCAGGAGGATTGTTTGAGCCCAGGAGTTTGAGACCAGCCTAGGCAGCATAGTGAGACCTTGTCTCTACAAAAAAAAAAAAAAAAAAAAAAAATTAGCCAGGTGTGATCCCAGCCTCTCAGGTAGGAGAATCACTTGATCCCAGGAGGCGAAGGCTACAGTGAGCATCTGTGATCACACCACTGCACTCCTGCCTGGGGAACAGACTGAGACCTTGTCTCAAAAAACAAAACAAACAAAACTCTGCTTTAAATAAAGTGTGAAATGGTAAAAAGAACCTCTCTCTTTTTTTTAAGTTTTCTATTTGTGTAAATTTATAAGGCACAAGTATCATTTTATTACATACATAGATTGTGTAACGAATTCAGGGCTTTTTGGGAGAACCTCTCTTACACATCAGTGGAGTACTCACTGATATACTACACTTAAGTAATGTAGGCCAGGCGTGGTGGCTCACACCTGTAATCCAAGCACTTTGGAGGCCAAGGCGGGCGGATCACCTGAGGTCGGGAGTTGAAGACCAGCCTGACCAACGTGGTGAAACCCTGTCTTTTAAAAAAAATAATAAGCCGGGCGCGGTGGCTCAAGCCTGTAATCCCAGCACTTTGGGAGGCCGAGGCGGGTGGATCACGAGGTCAAGAGATCGAGACCATCCTGGTCAACATGGTGAAACCCCGTCTCTACTAAAAATACAAAAAATTAGCTGGGCATGGTGGCACGTGCCTGTAATCCTAGCTACTCAGGAGGTTGAGGCAGGAGAATTGCCTGAGCCCAGGAGGCGGAGGTTGTGGTGAGCCGAGATTGCGCCATTGCACTCCAGCCTGGGTAACAAGAGCGAAACTCTGTCTCAAAATAAAATAAAATAAAATAAAATTTAGTAATGTAGCCACCATTATTAGTGTTAGAGTCCACTGATACAGAGACCTATTTTACACTTAACTAACAGGATTTTCTTAAAAGTCCAAAAAAGGACCTACTGTGATAACTCTGCTAGCAGATCCAAGTGAGTGGGTGGATCTGCTAGCACCCCTGAAGTGTTTCAGTGTTCAGTCTGGGGTAGATCCAATTGGCAGAGAAGAGTTTTATGCAGTGGCTTGGACTAGAGTTTGGGATTTGGCATTCATCATCGGAAAAATGGATTTCTACCTGTTCTGAATCAAAAACAAGCCATGTGCAGTACCCACCTGTAGTCCTAGCTACTTGGGAGGCAACTTGAGAGTATCACTTGAGCCCAGGAGTTCCAATCCAGCCTTGGCAACATTGTGAGACTCATCTCTAAAAAGCAAATAAAAATAAAAAACACCAAAACAACCAGGATGTTTCCCATTTGCAGTTATTATATCTACATAATTTATAATTGCAGGATTTTTTTTTTAAAATTTATTTTTATTCTTAAGATGGGTTTTCACCATGTTGGCCAGGCTGGTCTTGAACTCCTGACCTCAGGCGATCTACCCACCTCGGCCTCCCAAAGTGCTAGGATTACAGGCGTGAGCCACTGCGCCCGGCCTATTGCAGGATTTTAATGTGTCCTCAAATAGGAATTGCCTTGGAGTTTGTCCAGTTACAGCCACATTCCCAAGGTGAAGACTTTTTGCAAACAGGTCACACATTTGGGAACGAAGAATTTAGTCTTTTCAGCTAATTCCAAATAATGTGTCTCACATTTAAAATATCACCTGTTCTATCTGGGCATGGTGGCTCATGCCTGTAATCCCAGGTGGACAGATCACGAAGTCGAGTTCAAAACCAGCCTGGCCAACATGGTAAAACCCCGTCTCTACTAAAAATACAAAAATTAGCCAGGTATGGTGGCGCAACCTGTAGTTCCAGCTACTTTGGGGGCTGAGGCAGGAAGAATCACTTGAACCCGGGAGGCAGAGGTTGCAGTGAGCCGAGATCACGCCGTTTCACTCCAGCCTGTGTGACAGAGTAAGACTCTGTCTCAAAAAAAAAATCACCTGTTCTTTTCTTTTTTCTTTTTTTTTTTTTTGAGACTGAGTTTTGCTCTGTTGCCCAGGCTGGAGTGCAGTGGCGTGATCACTGCTAACTGCAACCTCCACCTCCCAGGTTCAAGCAACTCTCCTCCCTCAGCCTCTGGAGCAGCTGGAATTACAAGCGTGCACCACCACGCCTGGCTCATTTTTTNCAACCTCCACCTCCCAGGTTCAAGCAACTCTCCTCCCTCAGCCTCTGGAGCAGCTGGAATTACAAGCGTGCACCACCACGCCTGGCTCATTTTTTATTTTCTTTCGTTCTTTTTCTTTTCTTTTTTTTTTTTTTTTTTTTTTTTTTTGAGATGGAGTCTTGTTCTGTTGCCCGGGCTGGAGAACAGTGGTGCGATCTCGGCTCATTGCAACCTCTGCCTCCTGGGTTCAAGCAATTCTCCTGCCTCAGCCTCCTGAGTAGCTGGGATTACAGGCACCTGCCCCAGCTCCTGGCTAATTTTTGTATTTTTAGTAGAGATGGGGTTTCACCATCTTGGCAATACTGGTCTTGAACTCGTAACTTTGTGATCCACCTGCTTCAGCCTCCCAAAGTGCTGGGATTACAAGCCTGAGTCGCCACGCCCACCTAATTTTTGTATTTTTAGTAGAGACAAGATTTCACCATGTTGGCCAGGCTGGACCTATTCTTATTTTCAATGAAGTCAAACAGTAATGAATTTATATTCTGTGATCTTTTCCATGGCCCAGGACCTCAGATTTGGGTCATCTAAAGTTTATGGAGAGATGGCTGGGCAAGGTGGTCATGCCTGTAATCCCAGCACTTTGGGAAACCGAGGCAGGTGGATTGCTTGAGCCCAGGAGTTTGAGACCAGCCTGGGCAACAAAGTGTGACTCTGTCTCTACAAAAATAAAATTTACAGAGATGAATTAAGTAAAATAAAAGGCAGTTTTAATATATTGCAGTGGGCAGGACATGGACAATTTAGAGATGAAGGATGGAAATTATTTGGTACACTTTGGCAATAATTAAAGAAGATACAATAGCTCTAAGTATATATAATATTCTACCTAATGAAATATCTATGAATAATATGAAAAGAAGATTTGAAAGAGTCCAGGTGAAGTGGTTTGTGACTGTAATCCCAGCCCTTTGTGAGGCCGAGGCAAAAGGATCGCATGAGCCCAGAAGACAAGAAGACTGGGCAACAGTGAGAGCCCTGTCTCTACCAAAAAAAAAAAA